TTTGAAAACGGTAGCGATAGCGCGCTACTTTTAAAAGTAGCGTTTAACAACACTGGCCTGTATGTTCACAGAATACGTTAAAACGCCTAAAAAAATTATACATTACTTTGGAAAAATTAATAAAATTAGAAATGATAACAATATTATTATAACAATTTTAAATCACAAGATGCAATATGTGGTTGTAGCTAGAGGTGGGCGTGGGTCGTGAAATTACGCGTGACCCATGGTGTCATAGTGGGTTACGGCGTGAGTGTGAATAAATTTTAAATAATTAGGCATGACGGGCCTTTCCAAAATTTTTCACGTGCATGATCGGGCGTGAACATAAATTTCCCGTGAATTACGGAAATTTTAATTTTTAAAATTGTTTATTTATAAATATAAATTGACAATTTTTTATAATATATATTTTCTAATTTAATCTAATTCTTTTTTTAAAAAGAATAATTTTTGAAAACAAAAAATCTTCCACATTTTATAAACAACATCCGGTATCATGCCGTTAGTTCTATTTTATGTTTAGGTTTTTATCGCAAGACATTTTGCTAAATTTTGCTTAAACTTTTTATAGAAAGGTCAGTTATTTATTTGTAAAGACTTCGATCTTTAAATGCAACAGAAAGTGAAGGATTTTACAAGCTAGGCCAAGAATTAATAAATGTTGGTGTTACATATAAGCAGAGTTGTTACTAGATATAAAAATGTGGTATCTGTATCTAGATAGATTTTTGATCAAAGTATCTGTATCAAGATATTATTTTAGAGATATCTGTATCTGTTTTTAGATACATTTTGATATACTTTTATTTAACGCTTTTTCATATTATAAATAAAAATACTTGAATGCAAAATTTATTTTATATCATATGAGCATATAATTTATATATTAAAAAATATTAAAACTACTATAATAAAAAATTATATATATAAAATATTAAAACTTATATATAAATATACATTAAATATTATGTCAGAGTTTATCAATAAACCAGGCAAATTTTGATATTACAATGCAACTCAAGGAATCTGCCATTTTTATTTTCAATGGAATTGGTTAATTTTATTTTATTATACTAATTTTAGAAATTTATTTTAGATTAATATCAATTGTGATGAAGAGGAATAAGTAATAATCAATAGCATCAACAAGTTCACACATTGTTTTTCCATAGCCATTTTATAGAGCATATTTTAAAATAATATCTCAAAATAAAGAAAACAAATATTTGATAGTAAAATGTTTGCCATATCTACCAAAAAATACGAAAATTTTAGTTATTACCTCAACTTGCAACATTGTAAAATATTTAAGGGTATAAGATACTAAATAAATGTTTACAACTGTAATTTTAAATTTTAAGAGAAAAAATCAAACAATGTTAAGAAACAATTAATACAAAGATTAGTTAATGAATTATCAAGGTCTTCAATTGATTGTAAACAAATAATTTAATATCCGATTTTTTTCAGTACCCCACAACAGCAAATATGATTGTTAATAATCATTTAAATTTTGATACTCAACAAATTTTAAATCATTTTTTCAAAAATGAATGTCGAGATTTTAGCATTTTTAAAGAATATCCTAATATAAAATTGTTATTCATAAAATTAACCCCATAATCACTTCAAGCGCCATGGTAGAAAGACTTTTTGTACAGCTAAAAATGTCTTTACAGATAAACCAGGATGCCTTAATGACCAAAATTTTGATATAATTTATAATCATTTAATCATATATTTTCATATATTATATTAAAATCTAAAAACCATTATTTTAGTTATATTCGAGTAAATATATTTTTTAGCTCATTTCATGCATTTTCACAATAGAATCCTAATTTAAGTTTATGCAAAGCTTATATAAGAGTATAATAAAAATTGTATCTGTATCTAGATAGATTTAAAAAATTATATCTGTATCAAGATAACTTTTTAGACACCGTATCTGTATCTGGATCTATATAACTTTTTAGACGGTGTATCTGTATCTAGATCCATTTAAAACTTCTTTTAACAACTCTGCATATAAAACAACAAAATATAAAAGATATACTTGTGAGCCGAAAAACTCTCTTGAATACTATAGCTCCAAAAATATACTATGAAATTAAAATTAAAAACATGATCAATAATAATTACTTGTCCATAATCACTGATTTTTTAACGAATGATTATAAAAATCGAAGTCTTTTAACCATTGCAGGACATGTTATCATTAAGGATTTTGAATTAAAAATATTTGTTTTGGCCACAAGGAAATGAGAACAGGCGTCAATATTAAAAGTGTAGTCAGTTCAATTTTAGAAGAATACACAAAAATAGAAAATTATTTAAATAAATTTCTAGTTGTGTGACATAACGGAGCAATTCTTATAAGTGCATTCAAAGATGACGAAACGCTAGTATGTATATGCCATATACTAAATAATATTATGCATTATATTTTTGACTAGTACAATATTTCAAGCAATCGACAGCTAATAGCAAACTAAGCCACACCCTTAAACAAGATGTAATAACTGATGTAACTCTGTATGAGTATCTTAAAATCATATTCTGTAATACAGGTGTACTTATTTAATTAAATAGATTAGCCACAAGTGATATCAACATCATACGCGAGTTAGATTAATTTTTATCAATATTTAAAGAATACTCGGATAATCTGAGCGTAGATTCTCGTCCCACAATAAATGTAGCTTTATGGAAACAAAAAAGTAAAATTTTGTTAACCTTCTGAACGTGATACAATAATAATCAAAACCTTAAAAAACAGAACAAAATTTCTTTTAAAAGAAAGATTTATTATGCAGCCACTACATAAGCTAGGCTTAATTCTAGAACCGAATTTCAAAAGTCCCGAATTCCAAAAGTCTTAGGTTTATAATAGAAGAAGAAAAGGATGATGTATATAAAACAACGTTAAAAATGCTAAATGATATAAAATTAGATGATATGCATAAGTCAATGCCAACTATCATTTATAACTTTCCTAATTCATCCTACACTCATAATAGACCGTATATTCTAAATGAAAAATTTAGAGAATTTCTAGATGATTCCGATGAAGCATCAACATCTACCGATGGAAGCTGTGAGGATGAACTTAAAAGATTCATCGCTCATAATACAAATAACAAGACATTATTTAAGTTTTGTAAGCAGGAATATTCATTTCCTTTTTGAGAAAATTAGCGAGTAAAGTTTTTCAGCCCCGGCCAGTTCGGTAGTGAAAGGTTATTTTCTATAGCCAATCTCTTATTAGAGGAAAGGCGTACACAATTGAAATAAAAAAAGATAGACATTCTTCTTTTTCTAAATAAAAATTTCTATTTATAGATTGTATTTATTTTTTGTTGTTAATATGGATTATGAAATTAGAGAAATAAATAGAATAAATTCAAATTAGTGTAAAATTATAGCAATAGTTGAAAAATTTAAAAACATCGTGAATTTTTTTATTGCCACCGTGAGCGGGCGGGCCATGAATAAAAAATTAGGCCCGCGCCCACCTCTAGTTGTAGCAATTTATAAAAGGAACTTTTTTATTAATTTTTTTTTAAGTAGGGTTTGCACTCCTCCATTTCGGCCAGACATGATGTTTGCACAATCATATCTATATTCGTTGAATTAATATTTAAATCATTTAGTTGCTTTAAAATGCTTTCAGCAGATAGACACTGTAAATTAATAATTCCTATTAAATTTTCTTGTATTTCTACAAAAAAAAATATAACGAATATACATGCTCAGGTTTTCACACCTGATGGATCTTTTGTCTCATCAGCCTTAAAACAAAAAAAAAAGCATTTCACTTTTGTTATATTTATATGAGATATTTCAAGCACCATATCTGCCATAATAGATATTATTTCGTTTTGAATCTAGGTTTATCAATTTTGGTTATAAATTTTATAATTCAGGATCTTTTTGGTTGATATATGAAAATATTGCTATAAATAGTCCAGAGTAATAAATTATGTTTTCGTCTTTTGCAGCATCCATAATTTTTGTTGAACCAGTCCCACGAAAAGGTAGCTCCTGTAAGCTAAGAAATAGCATCAAATCAAATATTGATTTAAGATAATAACGATTATGGTTAATTTGTTGGCACACGAAAATTGTTGTTATCTCAGGATCCATATTTAAATTAAGATTTTTTTTCGTGCCAAATTGTTATAGAATTTCAATGGTTTTATCAGTCCCTTCTTTGCAGCTAACACCTTTTTCTAATTGCTAAATCCCTTTTGTCCAAATGCATCACTTGGGCTACCCAAGTTATTCCTACGGCTCGATTTGAGCCAATTTTTAAAAACGACTAATTCAATATTTTAGCTAGAAAAATATTGTCTAAGCCTTGAGATTTATTTAATAGATGTTCAAACCTTTTTACCATTCTATGAGCAAAATTTTAAGGCTTGCATAATATGTTTCTAGATGAAATATTGAGTTAGCCGTTTTTAAAAATCGGCTCAAAACGAGCCGTTTAACAATACTACCTACATTTTTGTTAAGTTAAGCTTAAGTAAAAAAAAGTTGTCAATATAAATAAATTGATCAAAATTAACTAAAAAACTTTAACAAACCTATTTACCTTCAACTTTTTCTTCCTTCAAGTCCAGATAAGGGTGTGTACTATTAGTCACTGACTTACCATGTTCAAGAAAAGGTTTGTCTTTTTGACGAGGAATAAAAATGTGGAAATAACTTGTTGTTTTTTCATGAAACTAGTGAATGGATATTTTTTAACTAATATTTATATAGGTATGTTCTTGTTTATTAATTTGTATAAATTAAATAACTAATAATTTTTTTTAAATTTGGGGAGCCGGAAAATTTTTTGAAGGGCAAAGATTTTTTCAGGGGGCCAAGTTGAGGCCCCCTCAGGACCTACCTGAACGGCTGCATTTCACAAATACAATCGAATTATAGATAATATAATCATTCGAATAAAAAACTATTTAATTTCTCTTATAAAACAATCATCGCCTCAGTTTGTCTCTTAAATTAGCTGAATTCGCTCAATCTGGCGATTATTTTTCGCTGTATCCCAATTTGGATAATTTGTTATCGCCCAATCCGGCTCACTCAATTCCTTTCGCTGATTTAACGCAAGAAACAAATCCTGTTTCTACTACCGTTAAAAGTTTAAAAAGGAATAGGCGAATGGTAAATAAAAATAGAAAAAATCCAAACGGATCTTTCGAGACGAAACCAATTGATTATTGGATGTATCAACGAAGGGCTATGTTGCTTTCGAATGATCAACAAAGGTAGGTATTTATATTTTTTAAAGAAGAAAGATTGAGGTAAAGGAGGAAAATATTTAATAAGCGAGTGAACATAAAAAGGAATTTACTAACAATGCAAGGTAAAGTAGGGTGCTTGTGAGAATTTTTCTATGAATGTATGATATAAGGAAGAAAAGAATATTAGTTATAAACGATCGATTAAAACATTGTACTAATTCTAGTCATCGTCATTATACAAAAAACATCCTTTTTTATCAGTAAACCACCGGTAGAAAATGCTGATAACAACTCGACTCAACTTAACACTTTCGGGAAAATGTCTTACGCTTGGTTCAATCTGATGTTGGAGTTCATGAAAAATATTCGATATCAAAACGACACATATTACCTTTTTTCCATTTTTCCAGTTTATTTTTTTTATTTTTTGTAATATTAAAATACTTCAAAATATCGAGATCCTAATAGTTGCTGTCAGATTTGAACTAGTGCCTGCAGGCACAAGTTCGGAACCAGCACCGAGCCCGGATCTCTGTAAGAAAGTTATAGATCAGACACTGCAGACTTATATTTAAAGTGGGCAGATCGTTCACAATCATATAACATTTTGAGGGACAAAATTCTTACTAAATGATAAAGAAAATATACTTATTACTTTGAACAAAATATCTATAAAAATAAAAACCATGAATGATTATTATAATAGAGTACGTTTAAGTAGTTAAAGGCATGTAATTATTTTCGGCTATTAATTACATCTCCCATATTTCAATATTTGTAAAAGTCAATGCCATTATAAAAGTCGGTTTAATGGTTCTCCTTAAAAACTATGTAAATTTTAAAACCTTAGAATCAAAATGCTTTATTATATTTTAATTAAAATATTTATCATCAACAAAAAGGACATGTTTTTTCCAGCCCTAAATAACTCGGATAATATTCGCCCAAAGATGTCCTTAGTCATGCCAAACTTAGCTAAAAGTTTTGTTTTTTATATCGTTGAGCCATTTCATGTCAAATCGATCAAATGATGATTTCCGCGGGACCCCTTTAGATTTGATCTTTATATGCAGAGATACACATAACTAAAGCAGTGTTTCTTTTAGAATACTAGCTCTTATATTTTCGGAGATATTAAGGGTCAAAAACTATGAAGGATGACTTTTTTACCCTTATCGATTGACATTAAATTAAAAATTTTCTAAAAACTACAAAGATATAAATTATGATTCTAATATCAAAATAAATATACATTCTATTTTTTAAAATTATTTTTATTTTTTTTTGGAAGTCCATTTAACTCCATTCTAAAGTTTAAAATCCTTGTTAAAAATATTGAGTTTCTCTTTTATAAAATTCTGAGTTAAAGTCCCGATATTTGATTTTCATAGGGGAAATCGATAAAAACACTAAAAAGCCAAGAGTTTTTTAAATGTAATTAATCCAAATATTATTTAAAATATTTATATTTTAATAACAGTGAAGAATCTACCAGGCCTGTGAATCCGGATCCTGAGCCAGAACCCTTATAACCCTGATATTTTACTTCTAAATTTTTTTAAAAAAAATTTAATTAATTTTTCTTTATTTTATTTTTTTATTATAAAAAAATTTCAAGTGTTAAAAAAACCTATAAAATATTTATAAAAAACATTATAAAACATAATTGTTTTTTATTTTCATTATTAAAAACATTTTTCGTGGAATCTTTATTTATATTAGTATATCCATTTTATTTAAATTTAAAAAATTATTATTTACTACTATATTAAATATAAAACAATATTCCTTCTTGCTTAAAATTTTATAAAAATAGGAGAAACTCATTATTTTTTACAATATTCTAAACTTTAAATTGGGGTTAAATGTTGGTCACATTAAAAATAATAACTTAGAACTAGTAAATCAAATCCTCAATTGAATAACTGCATACTTTGATCCTTGATATCTCTAAAAATATAGATGCTAAGATTCTCAAATTTGACACTGCCTTAGTTAAGTTTACTTTAATTTGTATACAAAATTTCTGCCAAATCTCAAAGAGGTCCGGAGAATCATGATTGATTTACATTAAATGACCCAGTTTATCAAAATTCATATTATGTTAATTTAATATTTTTGTAAAAATGTTGCTCTCAGAGGAACCATAATTTTTTCTCTTTGTATTAAAGATAAATATTTTTTATGTTTATAGTTAGTTTAATTTTAACAAATATGGTTTTAATGAATGATTCAAAATATAGAAAAATTGCATTTTATATTTTTAAAGTTATTATCAGAGATGCATTGATATCTAATATTACTTATGATACGATACTTTTTATTTTTGTCGATACCAAATTATTCAATAAGTTAAATCTAATTTAGCACTAATAAAATATTATTTTATAAATTATTTTTATCATATTTTTTAAAAGTTTTTAGACCATTTTATTTTTGATTTGAAAAGTTGCTTAAGAAAATAGATCAATAAATAGCATAGTGCTTACTTTTTAAGAATAATCTTAAGCGTTTATTATAATATTATATATTTAAAAAAAATAACAATTTATGCGTATAAATAAAATTTGATTTAGTTAGTGTTTAAATTTTTAAGGAATTATTTTTATATACGTGTCGGTGGTTTCTGCCTGATACCTGGCAATCTGAGGTATCGGTGCATCTTTGATTAATTATGTTTATTCAACAATGTATATTTTTATTCTTTATATCATCAGATTATGTTTATATCCAATGATAATATCTATATTTGAGAAGAATTCCATTTTATTGACAAGATATTGATATAAAATATAAATAACTAATAAAAGTTAATTATTATGAGAATAAACAAATAAAAGAAATAAAATATATTATATTTTTATTTGTTCAGTTTCCCGAATTATAATCGTGAGGTTACTTGAGGTACGATGGGTGTATAGCAGTTTCCATTCTGTAAAGATGGTCTGAATAATTATGAGGCCCTTTATTCGTATTCCAAAAATTTAATTGGATCAATCAACAGTTAATATTTATTGAGTCTTAAGCTTCATCAATTTAGAAAGCTTGTAATTCCTATCTGATCTAGCCTTCTAACTAAAATTCGGTCTTTAAGACTTTAAAGAAGAACAATAAGTTCGCCTAAAGTAAAGCTGAAAGTTATATACTTAAATCTTTTATAATTTCGAAACTAATCTTTATTCAATATGATAAAAACATAAAAATAGCACAAGCCCAGGCAATAATTATGAAAGAAAACAGTACCTCTTCCAGGGGATTTTACTTGTATACCTACTATTCGCCAGATCAAATAGCCATGAAAACTGCTTTTCATTAACTAAAACTCAGAAATTTTCCTCCCAAATAGCCTTATTTTTTTCCCTGTGGTCACCTCCATACTCGAACTTTAGGCATGAGGCCCTTTCTTTTTAAAAATACTAGGAAAACTTTTAGATATCTCTGGCGATCTAAATAAATATTTTTACTTAGACGCAACATAGTGGTAGAAGCATGTAAATATAATCTATTTTCTATTCACGGTTCTATGAAATATATTTTAAATTATAATAGCGCTTTATTTTTTCTATATATTAAATATATTTTATTTTTAAATAGTACATATAATATAAAATATTATTGCCTATAAATTTATAAGGATTTTTTCCAAATATGAATATTATAAAATCTCTCGCGCTATTTTCTGGAAGTTCTAATAATTTAGTTATTTGTGTTGTGAATCAGACTGCACTATAATTTATAACTTAATTTATCACCTTATGATTTTTTGGATCATTTGGTAATTTATTACATTTGAAAAGCTTAAAGTTCATCTTTCTGGTAAAATTGAAGTTTCACAGATCCTGAATTATTTAACATTCCAAAGGAAAATTAAGTGATAACTGATTTAAGAAATTAATGAATGTGTTGAAAATTTTCTTGTATTTCATTATATATTTTTTATTTATATTCCCTATGTTCACTAATTTTATACTCTTTTACCATTTCATTTTTTTAGCAAACCTTAGTAAATTTTCCACAGACCAAATAAGTATGATGCAATTCGATTGTAAAATTACGGAAATGAAGCCACTCATTCTCAATAAAACAATTATCTAATCTTTTCTTTTAAATCATTATTTTTACATAAATTATATTTCTAATTATATTATTTGTGCAATTTTTCCATTAAATTTCGGATCACATCTGATTCAAATTTATTATTTTTTAAATTTGATTTTATTGTTCACAATTATCGGGGGATATTATTATATTATTACTTATAATTATTATGTAACATAATTATATATATATATTATATCAAATTTAAATTTGCTTTAGACGATTTCATAATATCTAGTATTAGTGATTAGGGAATTGACCAAAAAATTGTTATTAATATAATTGTTATAATTCTTATTTGGTGTATGTTAATTATTAACACATTACATGTTAGTTAAATTAAATTATTGTATATTACCCCAGGGGTAGTAGAGATCTCCCCTAAGTCTGAAACAAATCATTAAGCTCCTGGGTATTCACCCCCAGGTCCAAATACTCTTCGTGTGTGATCGCCTGCCGTCCCGGCCCATTCAAAACCACGGGTCGTCTCTGTTGAGCTATTATCTCCGTCGGTTCTGGCCTCCTCTGGGAAGGAATGGATGCTCCCTGTACGGTCGTTGATTGTACGATGGCTGATTCCTCCCCTCCCAGGCTGGGGTCCCTCCTCCGGGGCACATGGACTTGCGGGCATTCCCTCCGGACGTGTCCCTCCACCCCACAACGAAAACATTGTACTCTTGTCTCCCATCTGGGCGCCTGCAATACCCGAGTATCCACACTTCGAGCTCTGGGATGACGTTCATCTTGTTCCCGGGACATCAATCTCCACTCACTGGCTAATGGTTCCATATCATTGCTAATTACTATGGTACGTAACATATGGGTGCCCAAATCTATATACCTTCAGACATAAAGACTATATATCTATTATTACAATATTCCCTTACTTCCTAATCCCCTTTCCCTTCTTTTTTTTAACCATCTCGAATTTACTGCCATATTTCAATATACACTTATAATAATTTAAAGCTTACCTATTTGTTATTGGCATATTCAAGAACCTCGGAATGAAAATAATATTTTTTAAAAAAAATTTTCTTTTAATTCAAAACAAAATTATGTAAGAAAGAAATCGTATTTAAAAAAAACTTTAACTATTTTTTTTTTTTAAAAAAAAATTTCCTAACTCAACACAAATTATTTATGTTCCCTTACCAACTATTGACGTCGTGCCGAACCGGGAATAAAATCCGTTTACTAAAATAAACCTATAAGTTTCTCACAGGAAAAGAAATAGTAAAATAAACTTTTTATTAAATTTTGAAAAAATAAATTTTTTTATATTTTGCCAAAATTCGGCCTTTTATACACTAAAATTAAATAAATAAGAACATAATTTTCTAAAATAAAAAATAATAGGACTCATCCTGAGTCTTGCAATTCAAAGCCAAAAAAAATATACGCCGAGGTTACAAATCCATATTACTCCGCGTAATCAAAAAAAATATTATAAAGATTATATATAAAAAAAAATATACAATACAAAAAAACGATACAGTATTAAATACGACACTCACTACTATCAAAAAAATAAAAAAAATGCCCTTTTACTCTCAACCCTTCCCTCTCAAAAATATAACTTAACAATTCCTTTAATAATATTAAATAAATATAATAAACATTACTACAAGTTCACTTTATTTATGCACATATAACATTATATTTTATAAACATATTAAATCTTCCCCAATCAATCCCGTCTTCATCCAATATCATGTCTTCTTCACTCCAAATCGCAAACAAAGAAACTTATTGTTCTTTTCTAAAAACAACCCATGTGATCTTCTCGTTCTGCTCTCATCCACAAGGAAACATTAATTCCCCTGTCAGAAAATAACTGACATTTTTTGTATTATATTAAATTTATTTCTTTTTTACAACAACTACTAATCTTGTTTGATGATAAATCTTTCCGGCATATCTTACAATGAAATTTATATCCTTTTAATTTTTTCATCGAGATTAAAATATTTCGTAAATTCAGGAAAAGGAAATTCCATATTATAATTATTTTTCACGGAAATTACTTTGTCGATATGATTTGTAAACAAAGTTATCTTCAATATCAATCTCTATCGTAGACATTTTAAATGTTAAATTATTTTGAAAACTAGATTTAATAATGCAGATTTTAAAATATTAATTTTCAAAATTAAATTAAAATAATTATAAATATATAATAAAATTGAAATTCTAAATTAGTAGTGAGCTACCACTACCTTTTTCTTAAAGTAGCGCGCTAAAGCTACCGCTACTTAAAAAAAGTAACGCGCTATAGTAACACGCAACTTTAGCAACACTGAATAAAATAATATATGTTTATAAATGATTAAATAATAATTATATTTAATATCAAAGTAGCGTAAGCTATTTTGGCGCTATGGTAAAAGCTACTAAATGGTAGCGTGCTATTAAATCTACAAAAAAATAAAAGGACATCATATCAATGTTACCATTCTCCAGATTACAAACCTACTGAAAACATCCAGGCATACTGAAATGAAAACTTAGAAATCAGCAGCCTAGAACAAAGGATTCGTTGGAGTAAAAATTTTAAGTTTATAAGGAAATCGATATTTCAGATTGTTTAGCAGAATTTTATTAATTCCATGCCAAAATAATAGTTGCAGTTGTAAATACAAAGGTAGATGTAGCATAATTAAATATAGCTGGGTGAATATAATGATATTTTAGCCTAGTAGGGCGATAATTTGAATAGTTACATATTTTAAATCATATATACTATTAAAAATATAACAATTTATATTAAACTTGTTCATAATATATTGGTATTTTTAGTAATAAAGTTTTTTCGAATGTTCATGGCTATTTCCAAAAATTAAAATGTTTTAAGCTAAAAAATAAGGGTGGTAGAACTTTGGAGTAGGGAAGGGGGAGATGTTGTATTTACTACTGTATCGTTTTTTTGTATTGTATATTTTTTTTTATATATAATCTTTATAATATTTTTTTTATTACGCGGAGTAATATGGATTTGTAACCTCGGCGTATATTTTTTTGGCTTTGAATTGCAAGACTCAGGATGAGTCCTATTATTTTTATTTTAGAAAATTAAGTTGTTATTTATTTAATTTTAGTATATAAAAGGCCGAATTTTGGCAAAATATGAAAATTTTTTATTTTTTCAAAATTTAATAAAAAGTTTATTTTACTTTTGCGTTTTTTAGGTTAACTTAAAAAAAAAGGAAAAAATCTTAATTCTTTTCCTGTGAGGAACTTATAGGTTTATTTTAGTAAACGGATTTTATTCCCGGTTCGGCACGACGTCAATAGTGAGGAAATATTTAAAGGTAATATATCAAACAATTTTAATACCAATGTGTAGCCCATTCCTTAATCTTTAAAATAAAATTTGAATCAAAGCTGTACCTATAATATTTTTGAGCTAGATGAGTTTATGGTTTATGTGATAGTTTATATTTTGGCCCAGTACAAACATGGTTTGTTTCAACTGGCCATACGATGAATGATATTTATAGATCAAAAATTATAATAAATAATCATGTTAAAATTTTATTTAATTATCAGACACATCTATTTAAAGAAAATATTTTATAAATTGTAATATGGATGTTAAACATTCTTAAAATTAAGCTCCGTGAAGTTGGCAGAACGACTTGAGGTGCAATTAACAAAATCTAAGCCATTATTTAGAGCCTTAATTGCACTTCTATCCGGACATCAGCAGAATGAATCGTTCGTGAGTTATGAGCAAAATAAGGAAAATGTGAAATTTTGATGCTGGCAGAACGACTTGAGGTGCAATTAACAAAAGTTACGCCATTATTTAGAGTCTTAATTGCACTTCTATCCGGACATCAGCAGAATGAACCGTTCGTGAGTTATGAGCAAAATAAGAAAATGTTGGCACTTTGCCAAAACCGAAAAAATTAAGAATAACTTTCGAAACTTGGCAATTATTTAGTATTCAATTTGTGCTTTAATATTCTCAAAACGGGATATCCGTATCATCAACCGTAACCGAGTTATATTTATTTATTTGAGAAGCGGAATTCTTTGTAAATGTGAGGTGCAATTAGCGATTCTTATGCCAGTGTGTAGCCCTTTAATTGAACATTAAGAATCTTTAAACGGCATATCAGCAGAATTAACGGCTAGTGAGTTATGAGCAAAATAAGAAAGTGTTGGCACTTTGTCAAAACCGAAAAAAATTAAGAATAACTTTCGAAACTTGGCAATTATTTAGTATTCAATTTGTGCTTTAATATTCTCAAAACGGGATATCCGTATCATCAACCGTAACCGAGTTATATTTATTTATTTGAGAAGCGGAAATGAGCGGAATTCTTTGTAAATGTGAGGTGCAATTAGCGATTTGCCAGTGTGTAGCCCTTTAATTGAACATTAAGAATCTTTAAACGGCATAGCAGAATTAACGGCTAGTGAGTTTTTCTTATTAGGTTGTTAATTTATATATTTCGTTCTTCCGATTAGCACCTTTCTATAGAAAAATAAGAATGGCACTTACATTTATTAAATAATTTTAATTTTCAAGTTTTTTCCTATTATTATGTATAAAGTTAAAATAAGGTTTATAAAAATCAGAGACCCGGAGTGAACCAACCATTATAAATATCTGAACCGTAACCGAACCTATATATTTATTTTTTGAAGGAGTAAAAAGAACTTTTATAAAAAAAAGTTAAACCGGTTCAGTTTATATTTTAAAAATGGAAATCTGCTGATATGCCGTTTAAAGATTCTTAATGTTCAATTAAAGGGCTACACACTGGCATAAGAATCGCTAATTGCACCTTACATTTACAAAGAATTCCGCTTCTCAAATAAATAAATATAACTCGGTTACGGTTGATGATACGGATATCCCGTTTTGAGAATATTAAAGCACAAATTGAATACTAAATAATTGCCAAGTTTCGAAAGTTATTCTTAATTTTTTTCGGTTTTGACAAAGTGCCAACACTTTCTTATTTTGCTCATAACTCACTAGCCGTTAATTCTGCTGATATGCCGTTTAAAGATTCTTAATGTTCAATTAAAGGGCTACACACTGGCATAAGAATCGCTAATTGCACCTCACATTTACAAAGAATTCCGCTTCTCAAATAAATAAATATAACTCGGTAACG